AAACTAGACCACCTTCTTGCACCACAGACAATAATAAAATAGAAATGGATCAAAGACTTAAATGTTAGACCTGAAACCATAAAAATCCTAGAAGAAACCATAGGCAGCAAAATCTAAGATGTTGCTCATGGCAATTTTTTATCGGATATACCTTCCCAGGCAAGGGAAACAAAAGGAAAAATAAACAAACTACATCAAACTAAAATGCCTTTGCACCACAAAGGAAATCATCAACAAAATAAAAAGACAACCCACAGAATGGGAGAACATATTTGCTGATATATCTGAGAGTTAATACTGAAAATTGGTACTTACAAAACTCAGCACCAGAAAAAAAAAACCACCACCAAACCACCTGTTTGAAATATGGTCAAAGGACCTGAATAAACACTTCTCCAAAGAGGACATATAGGGTGGCCAATAGACATATGAAAAGGTGCTCAGTGTAACTAATCATCAGAGAAACGCAAATCAAAACCACAATGAGATATCACCTCACACCTGTCAGAATGCCTATTATCAATAAGTCAATAAACAACAAGTGCTGGCAAGGATGTGGAGGAAGGGGAACCCTTTCGCACTGTTGGTGGGAATGCAGATTGGTGCAGCCACTGTGGAAGGCAGTATGGAGACACCTCAGAAAATTAAAAATGGATCTTCCTTTTGACCCAGTGATCCCACTTCTAGGAATATATCTGAAGGAACCCAAAACACTACAACAGAAGAACATAAGCACCTCTATGTTCATTGCAGTGTTATTTACAGTCGCCACGATGTGGAAGCAGCCCAAGTGTCCATCAATAGACGAGTGGATAAAACAACTATTGGACATTTACACAATGGAATACTACTTGGCCAAAAAAAAAAGAAGAAATTTTTACTGTTTGCAACAGCATGGATGGACCTGGAGAACATTATGCTAAGTGAAAAAAGCCACTGGTTTCTTTCTCTGCATAGTCAGCAGAGAAAGGCAAACACCATATGGTTTTACTTGTATGTGGAATCTAATAAACAAACTGAACTGAAAAGCAAAAGAGACAGACTTATGGATGGTGAGCAGGATGAAGCTAGTGGTGGGGAGGGGGAGGTTAGAGGGCGGAGGGATTGAGCAAAAAGGAAAAAGGACTCATGGACATGGACAACAGTGTGGTGATTGCTGGGGGCAGAGGGGTATAAGGGAACCAAATGGTAATGGAGAAAATACAATAAAGATTAAATTGTTTGAAAAGGCATGAAAAATTTTAAGATGATTCAGGCAGATATATGAGAAAATCCAGAATGCTGAAATGTCCAGCAGCTCTCTTGTCCACACGATGTACTCACCTAGCAACACACAGCTCTGACCCAGCCCAATTGACATCCTTATGGTTATTCAACTAAGTGATCACTGTGATAAATCTGGTAACCATTTGTCACCATACAAAGCTATTAAAACACCACTGACTATCCCCTGTGCTGAACACTACATCCCTGTGACTTATTTAGGATTGGAATTTTGTGCCTCTTATTCCACTTCACCTTTTTCACTATCCCGCCACCCTCGTCCCCTCTGGCAACCATCAATTTGAGAAGCTGAGTTCATTTGCTTTGACCTAGAAGAGTCTGGGACATAGTAGGTCCAATAATAATTGAACAGACATGTGGCAGTTCTCTGCCCTGCACCATTCTGTTTTATACCTCCCAGGTTTTGAATGTCTTTGTCCATTTTCTTAATTCCTCTCAGACACCATTTGTCTGGTAAAATTTTTTCACCCAAACTGACAGGTAGCCTCTGAAACTTTTTCTGACAATTTGACCTCTTAAACTGAAAAGGAAGTGGCAACCTCCTTATGTGGGCGTCCGCTGTACCTGACACACACTTGTATTGCAGCACTGAAAAGTTTTTTATTTCACTACTTTGTTTACATGTACTTCTTTCCATTTGACTGTGAGTTACTTAAAGTTAGGAATCATATCTTTTATGGTTCTTTAGCAACTACCCCATTTAACACTTATAAATGAATGAATGAACAAAAATAGAACATAGTTCAGTATTTTCTGGTGGCCCCATATCGCCATTTTGAGCATTAATTGCAATACCCTTTACTTTTGAGACATTTAATCAATAGACTTTAATTAATATAAAATCAATTCATTTTTTACCTTTAAGACCTGTTGTGGCATCCTTGCCTCTGTACCAAATAGCCTGATTCTTAACTTCTTAAGTACGCTGTATACAGTTTCTTAAAAAATATCTTCTCTTTTCCTATCAGAACTATGCTAGTCTTACTCAGTTTTCCTATTAGTCTTCTCTGTTGTTTCTCATCTCCTATGTTTTGAGAAATCCAAAGATGGCCAAGACTAACAAATTCAAGCATTTTGAATAAAATAGAGTCTGAATGAGAATTTCAGTTCTTCTCCCACAACTATGGTGCCCAAGCTGGGGTGCCCAGACCTTGAGATGGATGGTTTCGTGGTACGGAGGCCCCTGTCTTACTCTCTTGTTCGCAGGTAGCTTAGGCAGGTCAGTAGTATAATGAAGAATGGCTGAGGGGCACATTTCCTTTTCATAGTATTAATATGCCACAGAGAATGCGACCCTGATTTCTTAACTCAGTTATTGGTATATATGGCAATATTTGATGAATTCTTTGTGGGTATGTGAAAAAATTACTCAAATTCTCCAGGAGGATGATCTACTCTGAGCATGTCTTCTGCTGCTTCTTCCCGCTCAGTGATACAATCCAACACCATCCCCTACCACCCACTATAACCACCGCCACCGCTATCAATATGCTTGGAGTTCTTGCCTCTATTTAAATTTCCAGATTGAAAGATCCTTTTGACCATTGTCCCTGCCTTACTTTTTTTTTTTTTTAAAGCAACTTCTACTGCTATTGGTGGTTCTTTCTCACGCCTTCTATTTACTGCTCCCAACCTCCACCATCACTCTCTGATTATAATTTAGGAACTGAAATTTCCTAAAGAGTTGTAAATATTACACACAATCATGACAAGTCCAGCAGGAAGTGTGTGTATGTATGTTCAGTCATGTACCATTCCAGGATTTTGTTCATTTGAATACTTATTTTTGAACAAGTGCTTTGCTTAGCAGGGTTTTCTTTTTCTTTGAGAACTTTACTATATATATCAATATATATTGTGAAAAAGAATGTAAATGGAGCCACTTCACAGTGGAGTCTGAGTGCCATCCCAGAGGAATTGCCTTGCAGCTCTTACCCCTCAAACCTTTCAGATGTTAAAACTGGGCAAAATTACCTTTGGCCTGGGCCTAAAGCAACATTGTATTCCAAATAACCCTTCGCGAAGATAACAGGAGAGCAGACATTATGACTATCAGAGTGAAAATTATAGACATTCTTTAGAATTAGCATCACTGTGTTAGCTTATCTGCACTAATAGCAATTCCTTTCTTCTATTTATGTAATTGTTCCCCTTCCCTTCCTCATAAATACCTCTTGCTTTCCTCTTCTAATTGGAACACTATTTGGGTTTCTGCCTGAATCAGTGCTTCCTGGATACTCATTTGACTCTTGAATGAACTTTTGTTGCATCTCATTTTGGCCTTTAAAAAAAAACAAACCGATTTTAGTGGCGGGGTGGGGGGTGGGGAAGAGAGATCAATTAATCGCTTGTTGTACATTCCCCAACCAGATGCCAAACCTGCAACCTTTTGGTGTACAGCACGGTGCTCCAACCACTCGGGCCACCCGGCCAGGATTGGCCTTTTACTTTTAGGTTAACAAATCTGGTGTAGGAATTGGAGCCTGAAATGAACTCACCTTTGCGGACTGACAGCCCCTAGAACCAGGGACGGTGTCTACAGAGTCTTTTTTGCATTCACTGCTTCTACAGACTACCGCCTAGTGACCCTGAAGCCCTCTTGGGTTCAGGAGTTCCTTTTGGTTGAACTCGGAGCCTTTATGTGAAATTGGGAGGGATTCACCCTCAGGGGGACTGATTGCCTCAGGAGGGTTGCCACGTATGACTTCTCCCCCTGGAGTTGCTCCAACATGAGGGATTTTCCTCAGGAAGAGACCTCCTTTACCTGTGGAAGGTTTCCTGGGTGGTGAACCACTCAGAGTTTGCTGCCACATGAGGGACTTTCTCCCCTTAAGAGGAGACCTTTTTCACCTGTTGAATGTTGCCTGAAAATCCTTTCCTCCGGTCTCCACCTGGAATGTGCCCTTACCCAGGTGCATCTGGTGGCCAGTCGATTAGCCTGGGGAATTCCAGGCAGCTGTATCCAGTGGAACACAGGCATTTACTTCAGACTTGCAACTGATAGCTGTAGCCGGTCAACTGGGAACACTGTGCGCCTTTTTGTTGAACCATGTCAGCTCTCAGGGGAGTCTGTCACGAGTGGGTCTCAGTTCATAAGGGCCCTTTGGCGTCTCAACCTTTGTTGCTTTGCTGCCTCCAACAATGAAGGAGTTTTACTTAGACTACACTGAGAGTGAATTTTCTGCATCTTGGTCTTTGTCTTTGGTTAAGTCATAGGTTTATTCATTTGACTTGCTATTGAGATTAATAGATCTTACTGTCCATAGCCAGACAACGGATCCTTTGAATTGGAAATCCTCTGAACTGGGACATTTTTAAGAGAGTTCTCTTCGTAACAGCTGTTTTATTGGTACCTATCAAATTGAAATATGGATACAAGGAAATAGAATGGCTAGTTTCCTTTATTTAAGTAAATGAAAATATATAAAAGGTTTGACTAAAGAAAGGTTAAGGTATTAGATAAGTGGATCAACCTATGATATCATTTAGCTGGCAACTTGGTTCTCTGAGGAATTCAAAACAATTTTATCCTCCTGCCTAGAGTGATTAGAAGCAACCTGGGGACAGGGACTCTGACTTACTCATCTTTGTATTCCCAAAGCATCCAAAGGAATAAAATAATAGGCATATAATAATTATTTGAAGTGTTAAAAAAAAGCACTTGACACTCATAAATGCATAAAGTTACTTTATTTTAAGTATACATTTAATTTTGAAAAATATAAATGCTAAAATATCTCATCTTCTTCATCTCTTAATTCCATAAAAGTCACAATAGAAAGCTTCATAAAACTGTAAAATACTATGTTGTTATAGGAATTTTAGGCTTTATATTGGAAAAAATTATTAGTAATATATTGAAATGTTTTCTGTTCTTTATCATTTTGTTCCACCATGTTGATCTACTTCATTTAAAATAAAAAGATGCATCATTTCTCCAAAGTTAATAAAGACTTAAGAGAATAAAAATATCTGAAAGTGCATATTGATTCTGAAAAGTAATGTGTACGAATATGTACCAGCCATGAAAATGGCTAAAAAGAGGCAACTATTCACGCTTTTCACATTGTAGGAATGGGACAAAGTTACTTCTGGCTCTAAAAGTTTCACTGGATGACATTAGCCCTGAGTTGCAATATTTGCCTAGGAAATAGAATTCTGGATTTTTGTATGTACCCACAGAACACAAAGAAATAAGCCAAGAAATAGGACACACTCAAATATCTGGTCAAAATACAACTCAATATTTGCATTTATCACAAAACTTTTACTTCAGGCTGCAATGAAGCTCAATGAAATTATCATCTGAAAACTTTCAAGGCCCTTCAGATAGTCAAGTGCCATAAAATATTATTGGATTGTAGTCAACCACTTGGTGCCACTGGGCTTCATGCTCATGCTGTGAAGAGCAGATGTGAAATATGAAATAAATACGAAAATCTCATGATCCTGCACCAAAATTGTTAAGTGGTATGAAAAGGGTTGAAGAAAGCTTTGTCCCATCCCTGAACAATGTCAACCTCTGTAATACAACTCAAATAGTTTTGTTTTTTAAAGACAGTCAGCAGTCAATACAATTCAAGTACTTTAACATAGTTAAAAAAAAAAAAGAACCAAAACTCGGAAGACAATCATTCACTGTATTAAACACCAATATAGAGCTGATAAAAGATTTACTCTATGTGTGTTGGTGCGTGTGCATAAAATATACACAACTGAATTACTGAAGGCAGACAACTACTCCCTCTCCCCCATTTCTGAGGTGGGGGCCGATTAAAGAGGGTTCTTTTCCCTACTTCTTTATGCCTCCAGCCCCCACCCCACTCCACAGCTTGACTGGAAGAACTGCCTGGAACATACTGCCTATGGCACACAAAATTATTAGGGTTCCAGAGCCTAGTTTCACCTTGTACAGAAGATGGGCTTTTATCAAGCAAAACAGTGCCTCTAAGAGATTTTTCTTTCAAATACAAAACCAGAGACTTTTTTGCTCCCATAAGGCAGACTCTTGACCTAGTGATCTCTCCTTCGGACAATAAGTCTGTACAACCATACACTTCTGGTGAACAATTCTGAGTCTACACTTAGTTCTTTACTTCTAACAACTTACACTTTTTTCTCCATATTCACGTCAGGGAGGAACACTGTAAAATCTTACTAGTGTGTTGGGTGTGTCCAGTTTACATAGAAACAAAACCACACACTCTGGTTAGTTCCTAAATAATAAGTAAATTCCATTAAAATAGAGATAATTTTATGGCTCTGTGTAGACCTCTGGTTTTGTTTGTTTGCTTACTTCTACTCCTCTGAAAGTTATGATTTTTAAAATACTTCCCTGGGTTCCAAAATATTGAAAAGGTTTGATACTAACTGATCCTTTTAGCCAACATAACGTATTATTCTGCATTTATATTTTGCATATCAACCTGTCATTGAATATGGATCATAAACAGAGGTGCACATAGCTGTTAGATCTACTCCAAGGCTGAAATACTGAGTTAAGTTGTTTTAGGAGTATTTTGAAAGGAATGGAAAGGGGATGAATCTTCAAATACTTGATTCATGATGAAAAAATTAAATTATTTTATCTAGAGATTTTATAAAAGTCAACAAAATGTCATTAATTTAACTTCTTAGGTTGGGCTGAACATGTTAGACATGGCTTTTACACATTTTATTGATGCTCCCATCAGTTAAAAACAAGAAAGAGAGACAAGCTTCTTATTTTATTTTATCTTAGGGTAATAAAAACTAGATAATATGGAGTAATCACTTTAAGGATAGCTGTAAATATAAACATGATGCCATAATTTGGCATGTGAGGTTTTAATGAATAACAGGTAATTTGCCACCTTCATTTGAATGAAAAAATTGCAGGTTGCTTATGTCTAATTTGTATAAAATTGAAGGTTTTAAGATTATCAGATACTATAAAAGTAACAGCTAATTCAGAATAAATTTTTTATAATCAAAATTTTAAAAGGACAGAATTATAGTTTACCTAACATAAGAGTAAGTAGCAGTCACTATGTATGTATTATGAAACCAAGACGGGCGGCTTCATTCTGCTTCTGTGCCCTGCCAACTCTGTGTTCCTTAGGATATATTGCAAAACATGACTGTATAAATCCAAAAATGGACCCAACACGTCAATGTTTTTAATGCAGATTCATAATGCATAATTCAACCTATTAAAACATTTTATTTAAATAACATTGTGATTTAGTTAGTATTTTCTTTTTTCTAATTTTCAATGTTATTATTACTTATTAATATATATAGTCTAACCCTCCCAATCACAGGGGATAATGGCCTTTCCACCCTAACAGATGTGCGAGTCTTATTAAAATGCATACACATTTCCTCTGTAGATCCATCTGTAGTCCCCTAAACACTTTATAGATGTGAAAACGGTCTATTGATATTTCTATGGATTTTGTATTATAAGTATGGGCTATTGTATCAGTGATGGCTACTGATATCTGGATAATAAAATACACTCACCCTCATTGGCATAATGGTAAGTCTCCTGGACCTCTGATGGATTTTTCATGTGTGGTTTGGGTTTTATGAAAACTGACACGAGAGGCGGGGTGACTCTGTCCTGTGCCTGCCATCGTTCTGTCTCGAACCTGGCATGTAAGTGCACCAGCCACACAGAGTACATTCACCAACACACAAATATGTCAAAATGAAAGAAGATATCTAACAATACTGCATAGGACATCGACATGATAATACAATTAGCATCTATGCCCAGATACTGCTATTATCAAAACATCAGCTATTTTCATTACATAGAAGTTTCTCCCTTCTTCCCCAGTCTCCTTCATAGAACAGATAAATTTCTTTTAAAGAAAGGGAAAAATGGATGCTTAGAAACACGGTGTTTTTCATTTGCTCAAGCCCTCTGGCTTACTCTAAAGATTGTGTATGTGTGTAAAAATCACATTATATACAATACAATTTTTACAGAAAGCCTGGCAGCTACAAATAAGAGGTAGAACTACTCAAAACTATGTTTCCTGCTGCAGGAAAAAATTCATTTTTCTTTACAGTAATTAAAAAAAAGTTTAAAAAATTGACAAAAAATAAGTTGCAGGTTAGGCCCCATAATTTAAACAACAAAATCTAGGAAGAAAAATATTCTTCAAATGTACTCAACAGATAAGTTCATTAAAGGGTTAAAAAAAGTTGCATAGGAAAAAAGGGACATTCCAGTACTTGCTACAATGATGGCAATAGTTTTTCTACAGGAAATAAAGTACCTTTAGTTTGTCTTCTTTTGATAACTCTAGGATTAGGGTTCATAAGCAAGAGCAAGTTAGAATAGCAGCACTTTTCCAGTTCTGGAGAGCTCTATAAGCAAGAAGAAACTCTATCTGAAGGTCAAGGTTTGTTCTACCAGACAGGAAGACAAGCCAATAAGCACAGCTCCAAAGCTAAAGTGGAAAGTTCCTTCAATCTTTGAATAAAAGGTGTTATAAAATCCTTAATACTTTTGCCCTCTGCTTTAAAAGGAAAAGGACAGGGTCTGTGCGTGTCTTGTGGGACAGAGTAATTTGGTTGTCAGAGGATACATCTGAACGTATAAGAACAAAAAGGGGGTTCTTCAGATGTTGTTTTTAAGGAATGGTGCACTGTTGCCTTAATTTTATCTATGCAAGAGAGAAGCAGAGCGAGCACTGTATTATTTGGCCAATGGCCAAAAACCAAAACAAAATGAAAATTAAAAAATAAACAACCAGACCAAAAACAAGAATGTTAACAACAGTTGTTAGTTTGAAGAAAGACAAACAGGTTACAATGTAGTTTCTGTTCCCTTGCTCCTCCAGAAATAATCATTGTCTTCAGGCTCAAGTTCTATTCTAATTTGAGGCACAACTTTTACTGGAGTTCTAGGAGGACTAGAGAAAAAAGAAAAGAAAGGAAATAGTAAGTAAATCAGATTTCCTTTATCATCTGTCAAATGCATTATACAGAAGCCAAATGTGCCCTTTCTTTGTTCTCTTTAAATGCATTATCTCCTCTTTCTGTATTAAAAACAAACATTTTAAATGGGGTGAAGGTAGCAATAGAGTCAAGATATTCAAGTAAAAATTTTATAAGCTCTCATACCTGGATTTAAATAAGAAAAAACCCAAGATGGTGGACTGCCAGGTGGGTGATATTGTCAAATTAAAGGACAAAAAGACATACATGAAGAAAGTATTCAGGGACTTAACTTTGTTGACAATCAAATGTAGGATTGTCTTTGAAATCTCTAGAGCCATGTTAAGAGGGAAGGAAACTTCTGGAGAAGAGCTTTGAGGAAATGCAGCTGTACCCCTTCAACTGGAAATGATACAGAAATAATAAGAGCTGACATTGATCCTGGGCTTTATCTGGAGCCTGAAAGATTTCAGTGTTTTCTGAGAATAAGTAGAATATGTCTCTTAGAAGGTTTTCTACCAGTGAAAACTGGGGCAAAGTTTGATGATTGGGTAATTTATTTAAGACAAATTGTAGAGAGGAAGGAGAACAAGGTGTTCTGCCAATAACCCGCTATTGACTACGTTTCTGTGGGGCAATCATCCCACAGAACAATGTAAGTAAAACACTGGGCTGTTCTTTACCTTGGCATACCGAGAGACTGAAGAAAAGGAATTTTATCAGCATGATGTGTGGCGTTCAAGGAATGTTGGTGATCTTTCTCCTGGAAAAAAAAAAAATCTTTGGTAGTCTTTGGTACTATGTAAAACTAGAGTGAACATTAAAATCTCCACAAAAGTTGATGCATCTTTAACAACTGGTAAGAGTAAGAAAGGCAAGTTTAGGTAAGTTCAATAAACATTGTATCAAGGCAAGAATCCAAGTAGTGTGATGAAGCCCAAATCACTCAGTTTCCTTTCCTCTGGGTATTCTATGAAGAACCATTGCTGTTCTCTTCAGTGAAGGGATAGGAGGTGAATGATTTTTAGAGATGAAAAGTAAAGCCAGAACGTGGTTTGGGGAACTTGAATTCAAAAAGGAAAACTTAACCAAATCCCACTGATAGAACTAAGAAGAAACTAGCCTCAGTTATAAATTATAGGTTACATGATGATTGGACACTAAAGGTGAGGAGAGTGTTTTAATTCTTTAAATCTAATGTGATAGCTAGATTCCAAAATGGTTCCCAATGCTCCCTAACCCCTGGTATTCATATCCTTGTATAATTCCTTCCCACATTGCACCAGGGTTGGTTTGTGAGACCCACAGAATATGGCAGAAGGGAGGATATATTATTTTTGAGTTTCAGCTATAAGAGACTGCAGTTTCTGTCCTGGTTGCACATTCTGTGATCACTGGCTCTGGTGGAAGCCTTATCACGCCTGGGCCGCCTGTGGAGATGCTCACAGGCCAAGGAACTGAAGCTTCCTGCCAACTGCCTTGTGAGTGAGTTTGGAAGCAGATCCCAATTCCAGTCAAGTCTTCAGACTCAGCCCCAGCCGAGAGCTTGACTGTAATCTCAGGAGACACCCAGACCCGGAACCACCAAAATGAGCCACTCTAAAATTTTAGAATATCAGGAGCTGTATTATAAAATACATGTTTGTTGTTTTCAGCTGCTAAATTTTGTAGTAATTTGTTACAGAGCAATAAATGACTGATATATGTATTTCTCATAAATAGTTATTCATTTCAAACTTTTCCTGGTAAGCTGTAATGGAAGTTGAAGTGGCACTGTCAAATAGAAGCAAAAATTCTCAAATGTCTTTTCTCCTTCAGCAGATCAGGAAACTCTGAAGTGCATCTGGATGTAAAAGAATACATTTTCTTCAAATGGGAACTCAAAGTGAAAGTAGTTTGGAGGCAATTGCTACTTGCTATTAAAAAAACTTGAGATATATTCACTATTATTACTACAGAGGTTTTCCTCTTTTTAAGGGGCCCATTAACTGCAAAAGAAAAGGTGACATATCAGAAATCATTTTACCTCAGCCATCAGGCTATTACCTCGGGGGTAGGGGTGGGGAACAGTACAGTTAGAAAGCTGATTTTGAAATAGCAGAGGGGAAATGAAAAATTATGAAGAAAATGCACAAATCTTGTAAGTTGTACCTAAAAAGTTCTGTTAATATTTTATGATTGCCAATTAAATTTAGAATAACAAATTATTTCAAATTCTCAATATTAACAATTGATTCAGTGATCATTGGGAGGCCATGTTGCAATTTCTCTTTTGAGCTGATCTGGTAATTGGTTGAAGCCTAAGGAAGACAAACAGTAACAGACAGTGAGGTACTACTGCATGCTGCGATTCTAAATATCAGCAGAAAAAAGAAAAATCAATTAAAATATGGTTATGAGTTTAGCAACTGAAGGAAACTGGTGATAACGGGGATCAGAGAAAAGACTATCAAACAAAAACTTAAGATTGTGGATAAAAGGAAGAAAAGGGAAGCTCGGAGAATGTAAAAATGAAGCTTTTAAAAAATAATTAAGTATAAATCTTCACAGGAAAAAAAAGAAAGTACAGGGAAAGTTAATGTAAATGGTAGTTCTAAAGTTTTTTTCTCTGCAAGTGCAAATCATATTAAGGCAGGCAAGCAAGAGGTTAGTTCTACTCACTGTCAGAAGGTTTGCTATCACTTAGGAAAGGTTGTTGTTCCATGATGTCCATTGGAATTTTTATACTTGGAACTTTTTCTGAGTATGGGCAGTCAGACTGTGAAAGAAATTTATAACATTTTTAAGAAAGGTGTTACTATACAGTCCTCTCTACCTTCCCAGAACTGGTTAAATTGTTCATACTATCATCTACATTGTACTAAGGAGAAAAGCGTTAGATATAATCATTCCCACTTTGCTAGCTTTTCAAATTCTACATCATCTTTCTACCTCACATGTGTTTTCTTCTCTTCAGAGTTGATGGGATTGAATCAATTAAAACTAGAATGGCACCAAATGGAAATCAATACAAATTGTAACAACTGGAAAGTTTTCCATAGCTGTATTCCCAATCAGCAAATATTTATGTACACTTAGAAAAATGACTTAACATTTCTCAGTCTAAATTTCCTCATCTGTAAAGCAGGAGCAAAAATATATACTATAAAGAGCTGTTATGACAATTAAGGACAGGCAGGCATGATTAATCAAAGTGATCAAGTATAGAGTACACACTGAAAATTAACTACACTCCCCCTTCAGGATGGGATACAGGGGGTCCCATTAGAATGGGGATATGGCAGTGTGTAAAAATACACCCAGAACAAATCTTCACACAGAAAATGTCATTTTAAAAGTTCTTTCTAAAGGCAAATGGAATAAGCTCTGTGTGTGTTAAACAAAGTGCACAAAGTATAAAGTGTAGCTATGTCTAGACACCATGTTGTGTCTGAATAATTTTTGTGCCAATAAATGACATCAAAATTTTTTAAAAATGGGCATTTATTTTTCAACTTAATCACCTAATTGCAGGAGGACCATCTAGACTATGAGACTGATGACTACAATTTTGTAAAAAGATACTAAACTCCAATTCCCATTCATTATTGAAGGGTTACAGAGAAATAATCTAAAATCATGTCAAAGCCCAATTGAAGGTAAGTACCATAGCAGAGAACTCTGGCTGAGAGCCTCTTCAAACACAGATCATAGGAGGTGAGGTTACCTGTATTTGTCCATGTTAGGCTTGATATTACCTGAAACTGAGTTATCTCAAATTTAAATCCTGGATTGTCAATAGCAAACCAAATACACTTTACAGCAGTACTAAGCAAACTTAATTTTATCTCTGAGATTGGAGTTCTTTAGACGTGGTGGGCTTTTTTTTGTTGAGTTTTTAGAAGTCATGTTATCATTTTTAGTGTATGAATGGTTAAAGAAAGGTTTCAGAAAATATAAAAAACCAAAGAGAGAAAGTAAAGGGCAAAGGAAGGCGAAGACTAGCATGTAATGAAGCTAGGTAAGCATTCTCAGAACTCAGCCATACATCTCACGTAATGGATCAAAGATCCGATTCTTCACATTTGTTTCTTTAACTAGTTTTACTTTGGAATTTTGGAAAGTTCCTTACATCGTCATTGTCACTGTCCAGACTTCCTTTCTTCTTTTTCTTTTTCTTCTCATCTTCCTTCTTTTTCTTGTCCTTTTCTGGAATGACATCATCGAGGAAGCTGAGGTCGTGCTGGGAGAAGAGGTAGTCCATGCCTTTTCTGACAGCTACAAGTGCCAAGATCTGGAAGAATAAATATAAAAAATATGAAAGAAACCATGTCAGATGAAGTCATGATGATATAAATACTGCCCTGTCAAAGGCAGTTGAAACCTGTTTTGCATAAGGCTAGAGGGTGATGGAACTCATCTTGCTGATATGGGCCTATGTTAAGTGGACCATAAACATTTTCTTCAGGGAGAAAGTTGGTTCATAAAAGTTTTAATTGTAACTCACTTTGTTTTGTTCACCAAAATGTGTAATCAAATTCACTTAGAATTTCAATGTGAAAGGATTAGTTTTTAAACTATGTTCTTCCATGTCTGTTTTTCGATAAAACAGCTAAAAAGTTAAAGGAAAAAATAACCTGCATTTGATTTGTAATTATTCAAAATTCAAACATTACACAAGGTTTTGAAAAAATCAAGAAAATCTGCATAAAATACAGTACACTGAGACATATTTAAAGTATAATAATGAGGAAGTAGTGGTACATAGACCATTTGAGCTATGGGGCAACTTCAAAAACTACCATTAACTGAATACTTACCATGTTTTGGATGCTATGCTAAAAGTCTTGGGCAGTATTTTCTTACATGTTCCCATAACAAACCCAAAGAGTAGACACCATGATCTCCATTTTACAGCTGAGGGAATGGAAGCTTAGAGACATAAGTATATCATCCAAGATCACTAAGCCACAAAAAAAGGGAGAATATGAAGGGGCCCAGCTGTCTGCCTCTATAATCAGTATTCTTAAAGCCTGCATCTTTGATTCTATAAATAGCTCTTGAAGATTAACTTCTGAAGGTACATTAAAGATGCCCTTGCTCAACAGTAAAAAATGTATTCACTAGGATACAAGAGTCATGCCTCTGTTTCCAACAAACACTTGGTCTTGACTCACGTGCTCTCTAGATATCAGTTTCTTCATTTCGTAGAGAAATTAATAACATCCACCCTATTGATATTACATGATTGTTTTGTGATCAAATAAAAGCTCTCAAAGATAAAAAGTACCTCATAAAGGTAAAACTTTATTATTATTTAGCATAAGTAATAAGTGACTTACTGAATATATTTCAAATTTACTCAGGTCTAACCTTGTTTTTTCCTAGCTTTGGCAAAACTAATAAATAGGTAGATTATACCAATAGGCAAATGGGAGTCATTTCTCACACTCAGTGTGTTTCCCAGTACATTAATAGAGTTTAAGAGAAGGGTTGGGAGACTGGGTGAAAAGGCGAAGGGATTAGGAAGTGCAGATTGGTAGTTATGAAATAGTCATGGGAATGTAAAGTGCAGCATAGGAAATATAATCAATAATATTGTAATAACTCCGCATGGTGCCAAGTGGGTACTAGAAATATCAGGGGGAACATTTTATAAAGTATATGACTGTCTAACCACTATACTGTATACCCGAAACTAATACAAAATAATATTGAATGTAAACTGTAACTGAAATAATTTAAAAATAAAAATACAAATAATAAAAACAAAAGAGAAAGAAAAAAGGTGTAAGGATCATCAAGAAAATATATCTGACTCTACAAATATCACTAGTATTTTATACCATTTTTTCCTGCTTCCCTAGGGGAAAAAAAAAACAATTATAAAATACAAATACCCTTCAAACAAAATAATAACCCTGGCTAAGATAATTTTTATAAAAAATAAAATATGGTTTATGTATGAAAATCCCCCTTTCAAAGCCATAGGGGGACAGAGCAGACCTGAGGCGTCCTTGTGACTAGTTGCAAGTGTAGGCATATGCATTTTCTTCCAAGAGATGGAAAGCTATGGGAAACTATAAAATTCAATAATGAAACCAAGTACAGAGCTAGCATTTTCTTTTTTCTTCTTCTTTTTTTTTTTTTTGCGATTCAGAAGGGAATATCAGTTATTTTACCTTGCTTCTCACCATTTCATAGCAAGGATAAAGAGTCCAGACTGAAACTTAACATGATACAAACTAGCAGCAACTTCAAATACTAAACTCACTCCATTCTTTCTAATTCTAACTTTCATAAGTTGCCCAGTTTGTTCGCTATTATTTGTACTGAAATGTGCCAAACTTTGTTAGACTGACTCTGTTGTACAACAGAATTTTAAAAATAATTAATGTGTACTTATGTGCCAGGCATTAAGTGATATGTTTGATATTCATTGCTAATGCTCAGAATAACAATAACAATGCCATCCATATTTTACTGGTAAGTTAATGGCAGCTCAGGGCGGTTCACTGACCAGCAAGAACCAGGATCGGCATCTAAACCCAGCTTAGTCGGATTCTGAGGTCCAGTGTAAACAATCATGCACCTAGGAGTCTTAAACTACAGCTGAACAAATCAAAGTGATTTCGTCAAAGCTGGAAAAAATTGGAACCACAAATAAAAGACAACTATGTCTTCCATATTATAGTAACCACATGATATTGGTATGACCCCACGGGTAGGTTCAATGACAGGAATCCCTACCATGACTGGAAAAATGATAGCAGCCACAGTTGACTTGAGGATCCAGAGCAGAGCTAGACACAACACCTGCAGGAAAGTGAACAGGTGGACTCTGCGCAGAGGGACATGGCGCAGGTAGATAAAGTCAGGCTGATGCTTCAGAGGCATCAGAAGCAGCTTCAGACGATCCATGAACTGGGGAGGAAGGGGGAAAGAGGGCACAACTGCATTACTTCAAGAGCTGATACACAAAGTCATTCCCATTATGCCTAACAATCCACTGGGGATTTATATTCTATACTTTGGACAAGCAGTGTCTTTTTCAGAGGTCAGGGTTCATGGAGTGTAGAAATTTAGTCTATCACAGTGGTATGATTTCTGATTTTTCAGACATTGTATGATTTGATTTTTATTATTACTTTGCAGCAATGTTATACAGATATATGAGATTATGTGGCCACCAAGAATAAAGTCACAAAGCAAAATATAAATTCCTAATACTCATCTCCTGCTTTCTATTTATACTACCTGAGAGAGATGGTCTTGTGACTATTTTAATAATGATACAATGAAGTAAGACACCTAACGCATGTATTGTACTCTACCTTTGTTGTCTTATATGATAGAGGAGGAGATGCAGCTATGCATCATTTCTGTTTCAGGGATGTTTCAAGGATGTAAAGGAAGTATCCAGCTCGAAAATGGGAATGCACTGGTATTTTCATAAATTCTACATTATCTATGGCATAACGTAACTAATACATTCAGCAGCGCATTACCATTTTTTTTTTAAGAGAAAAGCCAGATGAATACTAATTCTAGTGAAGCGTCAGAGTGTCAACAACTAGCCTTTTGAATCCTGGACAGGCCATTGCATTCTCATGTGTGAAGAGGTATTAAAATGGCTGTGGAGCCCCTCTGTGCCAGGTGCTGTGCTTCAAAGAGTAACTGTCGAGCTCACATTGATGATGATGATAAGGACGCTATTTCAGTACCTATCATAGGATCTTTCAGATGAAAGAGGCTCAGTACATAACTGCTGGATTAAATTATGTAATAAGAACTCTGAAATAATACTTCTGCTTTCTTTCTGGAGAGAAGGGAGACGTGTAAAAGTAGACTATCACAGACAATAATCTCTGAAGTGGTTTCCTAACTAAAGTGTTTTCTTTCTTCCTCCAGGGCTATTTTTAATGGATGGGGGCCTTGCTGCTTATAAAGATTGGGTTACAAAATTTCTTGCTAAATCAAATCTTGCAAAAGTTCTAAAAGAGGAAGAATCAAGAGAAAAGTAAGGAAAAGAAAAAAGGTAATAGGTACAACAGCACCACAGGATTTAAAAAATCTACTATCTTTCTCATTAGCAAACGATTTCCCCCCCATCTTTATGAAATTGAGTTTTTTTCTTCCATTTAATAAACATGTACTAAGCTCTAAGCATCAATTAAGCACCAAGAATGCATAAAATCAAACTTCTGACCTAGATTGACCTATTAAAGCTAAACAAAATTAAGAACTATTAGTTTGAAGGTCATATTAATTTCATCTTTTTCCACTTAGAATAATAAAGAATATTTACAATACCAGGTACAAATGAAATATTTTTATACATTTATCTTTCCAAAAGTTTTAAGGGCATAAATAAGCCCACATTCAAATTCATCTAGTCCAATCTATGAAGAACCATCTTGTGTTTTGTAACAAATATCCAAATAATGAAGAACTCTACTCAATGAACCTAAATAAGGAAAAATAAAGTGGCCTTTTCTCTTTTGGGGAGTCTGGCCACTTGCCCAGCTCTATCTGACTCTAAAACCAAATAAATCTAAATTCAATAAATGAAAGCAAGAACTATTATGAAGGGGTTTAAATAAATTCTTATGATGTTCACAGAACATGCAGTCTTTTCCCACTAAAACTTTACTAAGTGCTAAATAAGGCTGCAATTAACAAGGTGCCAGAAAGCAGCAGAAGTAATTCCAGTTTCCTGGTGCCAATTAAATTAAAACTCAATTGAAAGACAAAGACCCTTACAAAGTTTTCCCTAGTGACTTTTAAAAGGGGGGCCAGTTTTACCAAAGTTGTGAATAGCTGAAAATGTCAATGTAAGTCACACACAAACCATGCTGACTTTATTTTTTTATTGGTTCAAAACTTTTGATCATTGAACTCAATCATGTGAAAAGAACATTAAATAAAAATTGCCTTGCTCTTTGGGGTAAAGGCAAGTGGATAAATAGTATCTTGAAGAGCACACGGAGAGGGCTGCTTTCCTTTTTTGAGACAAAAGTAAAGAAGCAAAGGACAGAAGAGAGGAAGGAAGGAAGGAAGGAAAGAAGGAAGGAAGGAAACAAGGGAGGGAGGGAGGGAAGGAGAGAGGGAGAGAGGGAAAGGGAAGGAAAGGAAGATGGATCATATCTCTTACTTTTCTGGTCAAATGACCTTTAACGGCCTATTTTAAGAACAGGTACGTACAACAACATTTGTTAACACAAGCTAACTTTGTTAATTAAATCATAAAATGAAAAGTAGGTGAACTGTAGAGAAGGTAGAAAATAAATGTACTTTTAAAACTAAACAAATAATTAACACTTTCCTACAAAGATCTATTACTGGACTAGCTTTACTAGTAGGAAAACATGACTATACTTAGATTGTTACAGAAAACTTACCTGGACACCATTAAGGGATGCTACCCCCATGTATAGGAAAACACCATAGAGTACAGGCATGGGAATAAACTAGGAAGGAAAACAAATGGAGATAGGTCAAAAATAATAACAATAAAGACAGTAATGGAGAGGGATACTTTACATAAAAGCTAAATTTGAAACTGAAAGATAGTACATAATAATATATTGTGCTTTACTCATCATTGATAAACCTCTAAACCCTTTGTACTAGTAATAAATGGAAGGTGAAGGATACTTTCAATTTTCATTTGATGTCTGTTTGTTTTTTTTTTTTTACAATGATCATACCTGACCTTAGTAACTTTTATTTAACAAGAAAAAAGTTTGTTCTCCTTTCCCCTTAAAAGGTGTGGCTACATAATTGAGATGCTCGCCTGGACTGTGAGGCACTGATAGAAAGAGAAGTAGAGTCACCTCACTCCTGAGACCAAGTTCTTTTCCCAGCAGTCTGTTGATTTTTTCCTTAATAATTTTCACCAATTGATCTATCAGTGTGGTGTTTAAGTGCTTCTTTCAATTCAGAAAACATCAAACGGCTGTCCCCTTTCTTCCTCTCAGGAATATTGAGAACTAACTAATGAGGACACTGCTTGAAAGGAGCATCAAGCATGTGGAAGCAATTACACACAGGGATTCATAAACAGCTTTAAAACGGAATTAACACATTTCATGCTTTAATTGGCAAGAGCCTTTTTTACATGAATACATAGTGTTTTAACAACGATAAGTTCCACTGTGATGTTCCTAAGTTTTATCTATTCCTGGACCTTTGAAACATCCCTAGTACTACAGAAACAAAGTCAGTCAAAGATGACCCTTTCTGAGAGGTCTCCTACCTGGACTACAAAAAGTTCTCAAGCTTCTTTGGAAAGGAGCTCAAGTAATTTCAGGAGGTTTCAAAGCTAATGTACTAAAACCACAATCAATTAAGTCCAATCTTACCTAAACTACATAAAGGAGGCTATTGTAACCAGAACACGGTATAACTTAGGGATAATTTTTAAAGAACTATTGCATGTGTTAAGTAAAGAACAATTTCCATCGGCATTTCTTTGTGATTACCTAAAACAGTTCTGTATCTGAGACCTTTTGGCTACTACTGGGGAAATAATAAATCCCAAAATGCCACAACTGTCTCCAAATGTTATTGGTTAATTATAGGAATTGTAAAGTGTATATGGAATAAATATACTTATTTCTGTAAAACATCACATGCTTCTAAAAAAGACTAACAATTTCAATACAGGTAATTTGACCTTCAGTTCAAAGAAAAATAAATGACCTTGGATGTTGAAGGAGGTGGGAGGGGTGGCGTGAGCAGTACGGAAGCCATGTGCGCTGCGATGCCCGACAGTCGGCACGCAAAGGGGAACTCATCCCATTCAAACCACTGGAGTTCTGACATGTGCCTTTCCTTCGTTGAGAATGTGCATGTTTCCATTCCTTACCATGACTGTACAATTTTACCAAAAAATAAAAAAGGAAACTAACAATGCCACCATTTTCTAGTTCTGACTCATTTCTTAATTTTTAAATAAAAGATCTTCTTCGGGAAAGGGCACTTCCATTTTTCCTTAATAAAGGATGATTTCCTTCTTGTCATTTTACTTCTAATTTCTTTAGAAGAAAAGAAAGGTGGAAGGGGGAAAAGAGAAGTATAGATCATGGGAAACTGGTTGGAAACCCAGCAGGTTTCTATTTTTTTACCTGCGTAAAGTGTTCTCCTGGCTTGAAAGGAAGTAATCACCCAGCTGATCCTGGCCGATGTCCAGCCCTCACCTGAGCTTAGCTAGTATTTTCTCCAATGCACTTCTAATGCCAAAATGAAGGCAAGTTGTGCCTTGTTGCTTAGGTCTATTATTTCTGAACTTTTGATGACTTATGCAGTAGATATTACTGAATCTACTACAAAATAAAATCAGAAGTCATCAAGAACTCAGAATTGCATGAGTATGTGTAGGAAAAAAGCTTTAGGTATAAAAGTATTTTTTAAAAGTCATCCCTTGGTGAAAAGGAAACAGTACATGCAAGGAAGGCTATTAATTAGATTTTTGGACAACTTCATTGTGACACAAATGCCTTGCGAAAGTCACCATTTTTTTGTGTGTGTGAAAATGCAGCGTCTCAATAAAAATCTTCCAATTTGGACATCTTAATGAAATTTAACAGAATTACTGAGTTAGAGGATTTTTTTTTATTGGATTTGGTTCATGAGTCACATCAGAAGGTCAATCTTTAAAAATTCATCACAACAGAATCATTCATCACAATAGAAATTTCCCAAAGGAAGGAAAGAAGAACGTGTTTTTAAAGATAGGATCCTATTTTAAGTTAAAATAATACAATATACATAGTAATAGTAGGGAGACATTTCTACAAAGCAAGACAGGAGAAATGAAAACACAAGGTGTAGGAGGTTTCTAGGTATATCAAGAATTGCCAAATGATAAAATTATGAAAAGAAAATTATATAATCAATTATACCCAGAAAGCCAAAATGTGTTATTATAAACAAAGATTACAATGTCTTTAAAAAAGATAAAAATTTTCAAATTCTGGTTACTGTCATTCCACTCCTTTTTACGTATCCCTCCCTTTGATTCTCTGATAATGTTAGGTTATTTCCAAAAGAAAAAAATGCAAGAAGGTTAAGTATAATAAGAAAGATAGATTGTAGTTATGCATAGCACTGATTCCAGTACAGGAGTGAGGCCCCCCCAGCAGAATAATAGTTGTGTGTGTGTGCTTGTGTGTAAAACATTGAATGAGGCTCCAGCTAAGAGCATAGGCAATGAAATCAGACATACCTGGGATATAACACTGGCTCTAGCTGTTGTGGAACCTAGAGAACATTCTCAACTTCTCCCATTCTCAGTATTCTCATCTGTGTAGTGGTTATACTAAAGACCACATAGCGCAAAATATCTAGTTCAGGGCCTGGCTGATAATATTCAATAAGTGATAAAGGTGGCATTGATGTCATTATCATTAGGACCTTCACTGTCAAGTCAAAAGCCTGCAAGTGCAAAGTGCCAACTCTCTTTGGTCCCTCCAGAGTGGGAGTGGGAGGTGTGGGAGGGGAGGCAGGAATATAGTCCAGAAGGATGGCTGCAAAGGTCAGACTTGAGCCTTGGTTTTATTTAAGCTCTACAATATTGCTCTTTCAACTCTTAACAGCTGTCTTTAGGAGCATATTACTAAAATAATATCCTAATACCCATAAGACTTAAAAATCTGGGCTAGTAAGAAAGTTGCTGACTTCCCTGTTGATACATTAATAAGTCCTTGGTGGTAATGGCTTATGCCAAATTTTCTCTCTGATGATACTCCAGGGGTTAACATGGAAAGTCAATGGCACAGATAACACACGGAGAGGTTCAAGAGACGATGTACCAATTCTGACAGTCGAAGACAACATTGTTTCTCAACCAGCAAAAATACTAAACTTTTTAAGAAAACAGAAGTATAAGGCTGATTATGAACTCTCCACAAAGCACAGGGCAGATACACAGGCTTACATTGCTCTCCTTGAAGAGAGGCATCTTCCTGCAGCGCTTCACACATTCTGGGAGAGTGACAATTACTTGACTGTGATAAAACCACTGTTTGCCTCACCAGTTCCCTTTCCCTTGAGTTTGATCCTTCCTGGAAGAATGTCTAAGGGAGTTCTGGCCAGGATTCTCCTCACCAGAGCAGAGCCTCCCTTTACCCCCTCCAAGAAGTGGAAGCACAGGTACCCGGAGATGCCAAGGAGCACCCACCTCCTCTGTCAAACAGACTAGGGTCATTTCAGTTTAGGGTTTTTTTTTTGCTTGTTTTTGTTTTTGTTTTGGAGATACACCTTTCACCTTGGGTGCCTGTGTGTTTGGTTTACTTGCACCTCTTTATAAAGTATGCTTCCCTAAGGTTCAGTTACAAGAACATGTGAAACAGCTCTCCAGCCTGTGTAGCTTTTGTGATGGCATCCTAAGCAGTTATTTTAGCCTTAGCCTCAGAGCATTTTCCTGTGTGAACAGAAGTCAGTAGCAGATAGATTTGGGTTGAGGTACACCCCCATGATTCCACTCCTTGAAAACTGATTGCGTTAGACTGGAGACATCGCTCCAGTCGGACAAGAAACAGTAGGTGCAAATCTGCAGAAACTCACACTACTTGGAAATAAGGAATCCAACTTAACTGAAAAGATGGATGACAATCTTCGACAAAGCCCTGAGCTTCCTCCTGACAACACTTAAATTGACTCCAGCAAAAGAAGAAAGCAATTCCTTATAACAGCTATCACCCTGACAGACACCATGCTTTGTGTCCAAAGTCATATGACTGTCGCAGTAATCTCTTGTACTAATGTGTGCGAAGACAAAAAGAAAATACCATTAATTGGTATGAGGAAGACACTAATGCAAGAGAAACTTTCTACTTTTTTAAATTAGAAAGCTTGTATTTTAGCTTGGCAATGCACTTTAAATACCATCAAAGTAAATACCAAATGAACTTGGGGAAAAAGCAAACACATTGTACTGTACTTAAAAACAAAACAAAACAAAAAACAAAACCTGCCTTGATCTTGACAGACTTTTGCCTTTGGTTTACATGTTGCTGACCAAAAGCTACAATTCTGTTCTGAATGTGCACTCTTAATTTATTCAAGCTAATTTATTTATTTAGTTTTTATAGACCAGTATGAATATATCTAATATGTGGCTCTTTAGCTGAGGCCCTTTTCTTCTGTTTAGAAATTTGATGTCTAATTTAGACATTATGAAGAATGTATTATCCTAACATTCTATTTACTTCCATAGAAAAATCTAGTATTTAACTGTGGAAAGCAATGAGGGATGCATTTTTTAGTTATGCTCTCGGAAGACTAAACTTTAGGGGGGTTAGTGCTATATATAAATATTAATGGTGGTTATATATAATATTTACCTGACTACATGCACTTAAATATTACATTAATACTTGCTGATGTGTTCAATCTAGGTTAGTAAGGGCTCTTTTATTTTACTGGGTGAATGTGCCAGCTTTAGACCTAGGAATTCATAGTATAT